TAACCAAGAAAAATAAAAATATAATTTCTGTTATCTTCATTAAACTGCTTATATCTAAAGTAGATTGTTGTGCGTAATATATTTCAAAACTTTTCAGTATACAACTAAGAAAAATACACATTAATACTTAAAGAAATCCAATACTATTGTTTTAATAATGATCTTGCAAAATCGTGGTAAAACTATCAATTGTGATTGTGTTTGGGAATGGTATTTAACAGCCTTTTCAGGCGCAAAATATTCGTACAATTATATCATAAATATGAATTCAGATCACAGGATAAAAAAATCCAAGACGGGGATACCCTTGTACTTAATGGCATTAGAATATAAAGAAAATGAATAAACTTCGAACACTAGGACTATCCATAATTAAAACAAGTCATACTCCAGCTGTTATAAACAAAGTTCAGAGTTTTGTAACAGATGGGAATGTATTAACACAAAGGTCAATGTCAAAGGCTATCCACATGCCAGACAACAGTGCCAAACACAATGAAGAAAGATTGCTATCTAGAAAAGTGACACAAGCCACATTTACACAACTCTCTTCCATGACATATCTATTTAACATACTACAAACAGCTGAAGAATGAAATAGATATTCATTATGCTCAATACGAATGTTGAGCCTATGAATTTTTGTGTGATCGAAATATTGAAACTGATGCTGAAAAACCATCGTTCTCGTACATTAGATTGATTATGGAAAGCTGCAGGGAGGAATAGTGTGCTTTGAAAATGGCAACCTCATGATGGAGCCTTTCATCTTAATGAAAACTATGCTGCAGGGCTATTGTCAAGATATATGGTCGTTATATAGATCTTGAATGGGCATGGTGTCATGGACGGTAACAACACGGTGAGGATCCAAAATTGATTCATCATAACATACTGAGTCTCTGCAGTAGATCAAGCACTCTAGTTTTTTCTTTCTGAGGATCTCACAGGAAGATGAAAACTCCTAAAGCTGGCTTTATAACTTCATTTCCAAAGGTAAACTAGGGCTACCTAATATGTTTTCAACTGCAATGGTCACTGTGAAAGTTCAAGTTTTCATGAGTTACTAATGTATGTTCATTTTCTTTTTCAAAATTAGGCACTATGAACATGGTCACTTAAAACACCTGATTAAAAATCACTTAAAGTAAAAAACATACAACAATCACTATTTGTTGTGTTTATTCATAATTTTCAAGTAAAGCTCCACAAGGCCTACCTGTTCTAGTCGTCTTTGATTTTGAGCTGACAAACGAAAAAGAAGTTACTTACTAAACACAACCCACAGCCAACTCTTCGTTCACTCTAATAGTAGGATTTCACTCTTATAAAGCACACACGGCCCTAAAGTACGAAGCGCAAGTTTGCGATAAAGTGACGAGAACTATTAACCCTCAACTATATAAGGTATGGCAAAGAAACCCTTCTATAATGCGCGGCACCCAGGTGTGTGAAGCTCTCGTCACAGTTGATGACTCACTATTTCTATTAGTTTTGCGAGTACCTTGGGTGTGATATTTTGACTACTGCTTAATTATTGTCTTCGCTTCAGAAAAAAAGTGTTTTTGATATTTTTATGCCTATTTGTTCTCGTGTAGTTAAGAAATAAGTGCACAGATAAGAACTATCTAACCATTCTAGCTGGTTAAACAAAAACCGTGGTAAACGTACTTTCCCTAATCTTCGCTATACCGACAAAATGAAAGGTCAAGTTTTATTAATAAACAATACATTGAGTTCGTCGTTTTGAATTAAATAAGCCACATTAAAGCTGTCACGATAGTTAAAATACACAAGTGTATTGATCAATAAACACCTTATCATTTCTCACGTTATAAAACTTAATACTTTCTTTCACAAGGTAGCGTGGCCGAGCGGTCTAAGGCGCTGGTTTTAGGCACCAGTCCGAAAGGGCGTGGGTTCGAATCCCACCGCTGCCATAATATTATTTTTGTTAAAATACATGGTCTTAATAAAATTCAAACTGTAATAATACGGTTACCATAACGAAACGTTTTTAATGAACACGGAAATTCTCAAGATTGATCTTCTTGAACAAACATAAAACTTTGAAGTATTTCCAAGTGTTAAATTCTAACACCGCGAGATATTTCAAGTCATAATAAATTTCATTTTACAATTTTATATTGAATTTAATAACATATAAATAAATAACGAAGCCAACATTCTTTTAGGGCAGCTTTATTGTCTCTATAAACCGAGTTTGAATTCCTATACTGAAATGTACATAAATTAATCAAATAACACATAATTTGTATATAGTTCAATACATTATACTATCAAGTGACGAGCAAATAAGAACCTGAAAAACAACCCGGTAAAACACTTTATACAATTTTAAGTACAAACATGCAAAGAGTGCCATTCATTGAGAAAAGCACTTAAAACAATTTTGATCAAAGTTCTTACTCTTTTGATAGAGAAAAATTTTCTTTTACTAATTAGATATTACCAAAAATTAAGAATACTAAACAATTTTTCACTTCGTTACCACTTAAAGTTCTAATCTCTTCTAAATACAAACATACATAACCAATAATCGCAAGTGAAAAATACATGGAAATATTTTCAAAGAAATCATATGACGTTTATCTGCGATATAAACATTATTTGTTGAAACTGAAAGGTTACTAGTTTTCACTAGTTAACAGTACTGTTGTCAAGCGATAAATCTATTTGTTTTATGCCAAAGCCACAATGAGCTATCTGCCGTGTCCACCTCTAACCCCGGGCTTTAATGTTGTAAGTCCGTGAATTTACCGATGTCCCACCTGGGGAATCCAAGCGATAAGAAACATGTTTGGTAATTTTCAATTTCTTGTAAATTTAGAGCAATAGGAGGTACTGCCATCTGTTGGCCACTGAAGAATACTCTTCACAGAAAAACAATTTGTTTTGCATCTTTATTTTATACACTCAATACATATGTCATGAAAATATATTTTACTTGAGTTAATTAAAAAAAAACAAACATTTATTTAAATTTAAAAAGTTCGTAACTATCACTAGTTCACAGAATTATTGTCAAAGCAATAAGGAAACCTCTGAAGTAATTTTCAATTTCATATGAATATAACTAGTGTAATACTATTTTATTATCCTCCTCAGATTTCTAAATTCAAATTATAACTTTCATGAAAAATCAAAATTTTGTATAATTTTAAATAAACATATTTGTCATAAATAATTATTTAAAAAATAAGAAAACCAGTTTAATTTATATAACACTCCCCAGCATTTCTAATGTATATTTGATAAATCACTATATATAATGAATTGCTATCTTTAATAAAGTTTGAGATTTCCTGATGTATCTTTTAGATGATTGGTTAATAATAATACACAGCCTTAGCCAATCATGGGATCCCAACTGTCCATCCCCACCAAACAATTTATTATCATAATCATTACTCCAATATGTGAAATGAATATGATGAAACAGCTCAAAAATGTGCATTCTTGAATTCTCAATAGGGGAGGAACAAGTTAAATTTTTCACCAAAAAGAATAAAAAGTTATTTTAATCAAATGAATTTGTTTATTTATTTGTTTATTAAGTACAAAGCTACACAATGAGCTATCTGTTTTGTGCTCATCACACATATCACACCCCAGTTTTTAACATTATTAGCCTTCAGACTAACCACTGAGCCATTATGGCACACACACACACACACATATATATATATATATATATATATATATATATATACATATATATATATATATATATATATATATATAGTAGAATAAATATTAATTTAAATTTAAAATTAAACGTAAACGTAAATTA